GGGTAAAGAGCTGGTCCACAGTTCCACAACCAGAACAAAAACCACACTGTTGCTCTTCTATCGGAGTTTCAACTGTCGACCCTCTCCAGTACCTTGGAGTAGACCTTTGCAGGGAGGCTGAGGAGTGTGATCCGCTGTAGTTGGAGCACACCCTCTGACCCAGGCAACTTAACTCCTAGGTTCATTAGGGCACTCAAACTCCTCCACCACGGTACGGTGACAGTTCCAGGACGATTTATTTTTCTCTGAATAGGCAACTCTGGTTTTATGAATGTCTGCAAATAAAGAACAGCAAACATTCTGAGTGTGATCATGTCAATTTATAAAACTGTAGTTTGTTTCTTTATGCAAAAAACATGAAGGTAAAAAAGTAAATGAAAAATGTCACATTGGAACATAGTCTTATTTTGGAGGATAAGGTTAGGGTTGTTATTATTATTATTATTATTATTATTATTATTATTATTATTATTATATAACAAAGTGCAGGGACACTTCCTTCAGATATCGTCACTGTCAGGTAAAAACCTCCAAAAATTGGATTTACCAGGGAATGAAAAACCCCACCTAAGTGTTCAGGACCTTGTTCTGACACCTTTTCTGTGAATATTCCTCCTTAAGACCACTGATAGATGTGAAAGAGGACCAATGACTACGTTTACATACAGCCAATATCCGGGTTATGATCGGGTTAAGGTCGGGATTCGGGTTTCTGAGTTGATCAGAATAACCCGTTTACAAGCATAAATAGAAAGAGTTACCCCCAACTTGCATAACCCGATGTAAATGCGGACGTTGGGGTAGCGTCAGGACGTATGGACTACGTCAAGACGCAATATGCGTCATTTCCGGTTCTTCTTGTTCCGGTATCCGTCAAAACGACAACATGTTTCCCATTTCGGAAGAGATAGCGACCGTGTTTGTTTGCGCTTTAGTTTCCTCGTCACTCCAAAAGTGTGGTGCTGTGCCGCGACTCGCCATGTTGCTCCCAACTTGTTGTTTACTTCCGGTGTTCTGGCGCATACAAGACGTCTCGCTACTCAAAAGACCAAGATTCTTTATGAACAGAGCATGCGCAGAACACACGCTTTGATGGGGATATCCCGATATGCGTTTACTCGACCAAACATTCGGGTTAGAAAAGGGTTACCCCAGGTGTAGTAACCGGGTTTTTAAAAACCCGGTTATGAGCATATCCGGGTTTTGGCGGTGTTTACATGGACCTGCGGAACCGGGTTATTGTGAATATTCGGGTTTTAAAAGGGTTACTGGCTGCATGTAAACGCACTGAATAAAGGTTATTTATGTGAAAACATGACCATTGTGACAAATGGAGATGTGAGGTCTCACCCTAACAGCGTTGGCATCCTAAACATTTGCCTGCAGCTGCTGTTTTCTCAGAATTCTGATTGACCTGAACGCATCAGTAATCAGCCTCAAACTGCGCTATTTGCATCCTTCTGATCTCTCTTATTTTAACGTTTTGTTTTTAGATAGAGAAATGATATGTTTAACACCTCTGCTACAAATAGAAAAGAGGGGGTTGCTTGCTTCCTGTATCGGTCATCATTAGCACCATTTCAGACAACAAAGCCTTCTTCTCTTTTGTCTGCTTCAACAAAGACGGTTCAAACCAGAAGACAGACCATTATATATTGCTTCCTTTCCTTTCTAGCCAGAGATTAATGACAGGGACAGAACAGCTCTCTCACACGTACGGGCACAACGTTTCTATTCTCTATTGTCTTTGCTTACACTCACCCATGAATGTTTTGTTGTTTTGTGAGCCATCTTGCTCCCGGAGCCTACTTTATAGATATTTTACAGTTTGGTCAAAAGAGTTTTAACACTTCCAACAGAGATCAACATTACTTAGAGGCACTCCTCACCACTTGTTAGATCAGGCTTGATCTACATGGTAAATGTTAACCCTCTCAGGCTCAAAATAAGTTTTGATAAAAGGACGAACAACTAAGTCCTTCAGGGGTACTTCTGAGTTTAAAAAGGCTCATGAAATACGTATGTGGAGTAATCAGGTAGGCAGGTTTTAGCGTTGCAAATCTGCAACGCCTGCCTCCAGAGGGTTAACATGAAAGCTTGAATGCTTTTTGAGTTGCCTTTGATGCTGCTGACCTGTGAGTAAAGGGGGTCGTGGTGTTTGCCCTCGCTGCCACATGAACACCAATCCACCATCCCTCCATTTCACCAGATTATACAACAAATAGACCTTTAAACTGTATGAATTTACACACACATAACCTCCTGTGATGCTCATGAATGAGAAAACGCTAATTTTCCACCTGGCCACGCCACACCATTAACCCCCCCTTTCGTGAATTCAATCACCCCCATCTTTTACAAGACAAAACCAGCCACCCCTCATAACCCCGCTGCTTCAACAGTTTCCATTCAGCATGCTAATGCTGGTCGCTTAATTAATGTCAAAGTAAAATCAGACTGATCAAACATCACCTCATGTTTTAAAGCTTTTCTTTGCTCCTCTCTCTATTTTTATGAAGCTGAAAAATTCAACAGCCTGGTTCACAAAATGGGAGAACTGTGAAGTTTCAGGAGAAACATCTGCTCTCTGTCAATTAGGCCGTGCAGGGAAACATGAAACAGCAAAAGTATTCAAAATAAGAGAAATCCCTCGAGTTTTATCATTTAATTGCTTTCAAGTTTGTTCTTCTTGCTGCACTCTCGAGTGAGAAAATGAGAAGCCAGAGAAGAGATGGAGTTCTGAGGAAATGGGATAAGACAGGAGAGATGAAAGGTAAGGAGGACAGTTTGTGTTTAAGGGCTTAGGTGTGTGTGTGTGTGTGTGTGTGTGTGTGTGTGTGTGTGTGTGTGTGTGTGTGTGTGTGTGTGTGTGTGTGTGTGTGTGTGTGTGTGTGTGTGTGTGTGTGTGTGTGTGTAGGCTAAAAGGCTGCAAGAGGTCAAAAGTCTGGGGGACAGGAAATGAGCTCCACCTGAGGATTTAAAGGTAAAAGCTCCTTGAAGCATTGACGAGCATCTGGGTGTCAGGCATCAGTTAAAGCAACGCAGTCAGACCCTTTCCTTCATTACCACTCTGACCCCTGTGTTTGTGTATTTTTGAGCCACAGCGGCTCTTCGTCTCGTCTAACACACACCCCGTTTTCAATTTACAACCATCTCCATTCATTCTGCAGTCTATCTGCATATAAAGCTCCTTCCCTCCCCCGTTGTCCCCCTTTCGCATTCCTTCCACCCCCCATTGCTCTTCTGCATCATGGTGGGGTTTCGCATAGCCTTCATTCATTTCTGTCCATCATCCAAACAGGAACAAAATCCTTCTCCGGTTCTGTGACAGGACAAAGGCTGCAGCGTTTGAATAAATTACACACACACAGGCAGAGTGAGCATCCAGCTTATCAAACTTGAGAAGCTGAAGTAAAAATAACAAAAACAACAACAAAAAACTAAAATGCCAATGAAAGCAGTGCAACATGATTCACAGCGCTCAGCTGCAGTAGAACAGGACTGAGTTCATAAAGATGAATGATGAAATATTTTGTTTTTATTTAATGTATTCAGTTTCATCAACATGGTTCCATGTTCAGTGTTTCCAGTTCATCACATCCAACACAGGGATTTTAGCTACGTTTCAGTTTTCAATTTAAATCTAAGTAAAAAGAGCTGAAACTGGGTTAAATTAAAACACAATAGCTGCCTCTGTCATTGTGTTTTATATTTGTTTTATGCCTAGAGACATTCATTCCTGCTCCGTGTGACAAAACACAGAGTCGAACAGCTGAACGTGATTTATTCTTTTAGTGGAACCGTTTCTTGCACAGCCCGCGTTTAGAACGCTCGAATGATCCTCACCGCCTTTGTTTGCATTATTAAGTTCTGACTCTAAACCTACAGATCAGAAAACATTACCGGAATACAGAAATCAAAGCTCTCTTGTTCTGACTTTCCAAGTTAAGAAAACGTCTAGCTAATTTTTCAAATTTAGGACTTCAAAGATCTGATTTCTGTAAACAAAATGCAAACAAACAGTCCACATGGGAGATGATTCAGGGGCAAACTGAAAGGAAAGCATGTGTGTTTTTACCAGCACGTTAAAAGCTAATGTGTGTTTGGGCTTGTTTTTATAAAAGAAAGTGAAGCAAATTGGCCACTAGTTTTTGATGATGTATAACTGATCCTTAGATTCAAGAAGTCAGACTTAAGACCAAATAATCTGACAACAACACTGAAAACTGGCATTTTGTACCTATAAATAAACTACAGAATTGTGTATTTAAACTTGTTTCCTCACTGTGTGTTTGTCCTTTTAACACCTCAATCTAACAGCTGAAATGTCTCCCTAGCCTTCATTAGTGTCTTGAGGAGAGATTCATCACTAAATTAAACAAATCAGCCGTGATCATGATCTAAAACATGCAAGAAACATCCTGGAGCCAGACTGCAATGTCAGGTGTGTCAGCTCAATTTTAGCAGTCTGAAGTTGCAAATGTGGTATTCTGGGCACAGGAGATAGGGGCTGGGTGGCCTTTCATTAATCCTGCAAAGGGTATTTATAGCATAAACTGGCTCAAAAAATGATTTTAAAACATGAAAAAGTTGCATAGTATGGCTTTACTTGTTCAAGCTGGCTTTTGTATGATCTTCTTCACCTCTCTCTCTTTATTCTGCTCTCCCCACCTATTCCACCTTCCTCAGGATCCACTGATTTCCCTCTTTCCTATTCACTCTCTCTCTTTCTTAACATTTTTTCTTTTAAATCCCAATTGCCTATTTTTGCTCATTTTAAATATATTTTTAAACATTTTCTAAATGCTTTTTTGTATATTTACATTTTTTTGTTTTTGTGAAGCGCCTCGTGATTTTTATCTTGAGAGGCGCTATAGAAATGATATTTTCTTCTTCTTTAATATGTGCATGAATTGTCCTTCATCAGCAAGTTTGTGAACAGGCATGAATATTAGTAGTAGGAGGGAAAAAGCAACTGGAATTTGTTAATGAGGACCTACCTGTCACCGTCTCCCTGTCCTGATGACGTATTCCGATGGAGCGTCTCTCGGACGGCGGCCATGCTGTCTGGAAGTCTGTTCAGGCGGCGAGTGTAGAGACCCAAACCTCCATCCGTCATGTAGCTGCGGAACACAACAAACACGTTACAGGTGAACAGCAATGAGGGATTCGGGCCAGAGAGGCTCGGCTCAGACTGACATCATCCAGCTTTAGGTCAAAATCATGTTTTGTTTTAATTTGGTCTTTTGGAGGTGGAACCCACTTCCATCTAGTTTTCCGGTTCGAGGCAGAACTCCCATCAATCAGAGATTAAACGGCTGGCAGAGAACTCCCACACAAACCCAGGAGTCAGCAGCAGGCTTTAATAGAAGTAGCTGCACGGCAGACAGAGGGAGTCTGTTCTTTCATTCTAGTGACATAAACTCATCACAGACGCTGGTTTCATCAGTGTTCCACGTTGTCGTAATATAACTGAGAGACTCGCTGAAAATTAAAAGGCAGTTAGAAATAAATCACAAATGTAAATGAAGGGTTAAGCTGTGTTTCATAACAGAGATGATTTAGTGAATGTTGGAGCAGGAGGCTTACTGCTCCAGCCTGAAACCGAAGCCAAAGCGCTGAACACTTACACAAACATTCTCAGTCCAACTGAAAAAAAAAACCCACTCATAAATCCCCAAATATTTATCTAAAGAGACGATCACTAATGAATCTAAATATTGACTCACACGGCTCAGGTGTAAAGTAAGAAGTGTTTGCTGATTTAAAAGTGAGACCCGATCGTTTAAAAGCTCAGTGGTCTCTGTGTGTGACTGGAAGTTTCCGTTTCTGCCGTTGAAACGGTTGAAAAACAAACTGATCACTATAATGCACGTGCACACACACACACACACACACACACACACACACACACACACACACACACACACACACACACACACACACACACACACACACACACACACACACACACACACACACGCACACACACACAGGTAAATGTATATACAGTGGTGCAGCCTATTGACAGAGGCTCTCTGTGTGAGCAGTCAAACTGAACCAGCATTCAGGTGGATACAGTTTGACACGCATGTTGAAAACTAAATGTGATGCATGCTAACTAACGTTTAACCCACTCAGGCTCACAATAAGTTTTGATTAAAGGGTGAACAACTAAGTCCTTCAGGGGTACTTCTGAGTTAAAAAATGCTCATGAAATACGTACGTGGAGTAACCAGGTAGGCAGGCATTAATGTTGCTAATTTGCAACGCCTGCCTCCAGAGGGTTAAACTCAGTAGGAAGAGTCAATACTCCTTCAGGCTGTTTGACACTAACCAATAGTTACCATTATAACCTCCTAACAGGAGGACTGCTCAGTATTTAATGTAAATTTTCTTCAATTTGTTTTTCTTTTTGTCACACCTAAATGTTTCACATCATAAAAGACATTTTCAACATTAGACAATGAACATTTCAGTCAACTGAAATCAATGAGAACGCAGACATGTCGTACATTTGAATAAAAAAGCCATTTAGGTCTCAAAGACAAGAAAGGAAAGGATGTGGCTGAGAGGAAAAACAAACTGCACATTTTGAACTAATTTTGCATTTCAGAAAACTATAATACCAGCAGTGAAAGCTGGTGGAGGTAGTGTGATATGGACCAACTGGAACTCCCTATCAGAATATCCTGGAGGATAATGTCTGACCTTTGACCTTAAACAGATTCAGGATGGAAAATCCTCCAATGTGGCTGAAGGAAACTCATTTAGGGAGTAAGCCAAAGTTTGATCCATTTTATAGCCCAAAACCCATGAAGTCATTTAAACCTAAATGGAAAGATGTTAAATGCAGAATGATCACAGCAGTTTCTGTTGAGAGGAATGAGACTCATTGTTGTTACACATGCTTGATAGACGTTGTTTCTTCCAAGCAAATTAAGTTTAGTGGTTAGTTTCACATAGCCCCAGGTATGTTTGGGTGGACTTTTTTCCTTTAATAAAAGAAATCATGGCTTGAATAACACAACTTTTTATTTGTTTATCTGTCTATTTATCTTTTTGTTTATTTATTTATATTTGAATTCTTCGCTGATCTAAATCATTTAAATTTTGCAAAAAAGGCAAAAGCAAGAAAGCTGCAGGGGGTCCATAGTATTGAGGCACAGGCTTTGCATTAATCATCCATGTGTAAAGTCACCCTGGAAGACGCCCCCCCCCCCCTTCCCCCAACACACACACACACACACACACACACACACACACACACACACACACACACACACACACACACACACACACACACACACACACACACACACACACAACACTCTTGTCTCTGTATCCTTGTGTGGACCCTCCATTGACTTCCATTCATTTTTGGGACCCGACTATGCCTAACCCGTACCCTAGCCCTATCCATAACCAATCTTGTTCTATTCCTAATCTAAACCAAAAGTTAGCTCACACCATACCTCTAAATTCATGTTTAAAGCTAGTTTGTCATTGTGTGGACCGGCCAGATGTCCTGTCCAAACACTACAGGTTAAAAGTTCAAATATGTTCACTTAAGCATCTAAAGGCACGCAGACACACACACACACATACACACCACTCCTTTACACTAAATATGTAACTGAGCTGCTGTCCCTCGTCTCGCCTGGTAACGTGTGACCTTCTGCAGCAGGACTAACGTGCCCAGACAAGGTTTGCTGACTGGAACCGAGCGATCATCTAGAGTTCACAGGAACAAACCCACTGCAGAGATATTTGACTGCCTAATAATGCATGCATAAGGAAATTCACATGATGAATGCTCTGTTTATAAAAAAGTAACAAAGGAAACTGTCTTCTGACTCTGGCACGTACCTGTTTGCCTCAAACATGTTCATCCAAAGCAAAAATAAAAATCCAGGTGAAAGTTGACTCCTGATTAAATGTTTCAAACCAATGCTGCTAAAGCTCTGTCTGCTGTTTAAACTGTTACTAGCTCTGAATCTGGTGGAAGATCTACCTCCGTGTGATTAAGATCAGCAACAGAAAGCATGTTGGATCGTGGTGCTATTAGAAGTCTGTGGCGTGGTGTGAAGTCTCTCCGCTCAGCTCCACATGCTTTTATCTGCCCTGACTGCTGGAGGCTGGGTTTGTGTGTGGAAGGTGGAGGAGGAAGGGGGAGGGAGGAAGGGCAGACTGATAAATCAGACATTACAGCCTCAAGCAAAGGAGGTGGAGATCTCCCGCCGTCATGGCCCAAAGAAAAGTGTGTGTGTGTGTGTGTGTGTGTGTGTGTGGGGGGGGGGGGGGGGGGGGGGTCGAGTAAAGCCACTGAGGTCTGAGGAGGTGCTGTCCATCCTGTGAGGCAGAACTTTTGTAGCACTTTAAATATTTTAGCTAGTATCTCTTAAACCAACAAAAATAGCAATAGAAGATGTTCTTCCTTGTATTTTTATGTCTGTGTGGAGAAAGCAGGGTCTAATACAGATGCAACATAATTATATTAATAGTCATAACATTGTGTTATAGTAATATTCAAATATCCTGGTTTTTTTTTTGTTAATATGTTTTTTAGCTTGTTAGTTTCCTTTTTCCCAGTTAAGCGAATTGAATGATTTAATAAAACATGGAGGCTAAAATGTGATCTACCAAGTGGTTGATCTGCTGGTCAAAAGGTCAGGGTGACATTTAGTTTAGAGTCGACAACCTAATTCTATTCATAATATTACTTAAAAACTGAAAACATAACGTTCCTTGTTTTTTATAAATATGATCAAATCTGCACTATTGCAAAAATATTTGTTTTTCTACACAATATCATCTTTTTGTGTTCTTGTGTTGCAACACATTTTGTGTCTTTAAGCATTCAGCCACTTTGGTATATAAACAAATATAATTCAGTAACATCCAGGCGGTTCTTATCGATATTCTGCATAAAGATGTTGCTATAAGGAAACATTTGTGATGCATTGTTCATTCTAAACTGAGACCATTTACAATGTGTACGTTAAAACTTTCAATTATCAAATATGAACCTAAAAGATAAATAATGTCTACAAAGACTTTACACTTGCTGTATAATGTTCTAAAACTCACTTTATTAAGATCTGAAACAATGTTGGTTTCCCAAAATGGAAAATAATCTGTAGCACTGAAGGCCCATTCAGTGTGAGATTAGTCTGGATTATTCTGCAGAGAGGTCCCTGGATTATTCAAACCTAATGGGACACAGGCATTGGTTTTTATCCCAAATTTTAAATCCACAAATAAAAACGTATTTAAAAAATAGATCAAAGTCAGAAGGAAATCAACTGCAATGAGCTTGTTTGGTGACGCAATTGATTCAAACGATATTTAACTGCTGGCAAAGGGTCCAACTGTGAGTTTACTGGGGTGATCAAAATGCAATCCCCTCCTTTGTGGTAAACATCCCAACTCCATGTGGAAGAACCAGTTATGGATGTAAGACACTTAAGGAACAGAGGAAACCACAAAACAGCCCGAGGATGTTGAGAATAGGAGGAGATCATCCGTCTGCGTCTGTTTAAACGGCTAACCCACAGCGTGACTCCGCCCACCACACACACACACACACACGCACACACACACACACACACACACACACACATGCACACGCACATCGTTTCTACAGTCTATCCTCCAACAACAAAGAGCCTGATGACATGGCTCCATTTACACGAAAGACTCATTTTCCCATCATCCATCACGTCATCTCTAGTTTATGAAGCTGTGACAGAACAAACACTGTACTGAATGTAAAACACACCAATGTTCATCCACATTAATTACAGTGGAAAAACGTATCATCGACACGTCGTTTGTCAAACAAATGCAAACAAATCCCATAATCTAAGGAAAGAGGATTCGTGTTCCACGCTGGTGTCAGCTTTTATGGTGATGATGATGAATCATTTTAAGCTGAATGAAACAAAAGTGATCCCAAACTAAAGTCTGTTCTCAGACTGAACCTGTTTGAGGTTAAATAGGAATTATTCAGTCACTAAATGTTGGATTTTCCAAGGATTCTTCTCACCCAGCTCAGATATCAGGATTCCGGAGTGTGAGAACACACACCTTTTAGCATCCCTCACCTGCCTGGATGTGTCTCTGATCTAACTTGGTCTGATCAAAAGCACATCAAGAGTCATTCTTCCCTCGTCTACTACAACCCAAACCCAGGAAGGCCAAACAAACTATCCACTCATTTTCTGAGAGATATATTTCCTTATAACCTTTATTGATGTAATAAAACTTTGGCCATTTTTGCAATCATCTTAATTTGAACTACTTTCTGTTCCTTCTGATCTTATGTGGCCTCTGACTGTTTGATACCATCACAAGGAGACTTGGCACCTTTTCCACCTTGATCTGATAGTAATAACTGACGCTAAAGTCTCAATAACACACTGTGAAAGTATGCAGGGAGCTTGTTACAACATTGACAGGGTTTTTTATAGAAAACATAAACAGCAAATAATCAGCTGAAGCAACATGAGACGATTGTAGGATCTACACTCAGCTGACTGAATGATGCTTATGGAACACTGCTGCCATCCTCTGGAAGGCTGAAGCTCCTACATCCATAGTCATCGTCACACACTGGTGAAATTACATCTCTGCATTTGACCCATCCCCGTGGAGAGCTGTGAGCTGCAGCTATAGCTGCGCTCGGGAACTATTTGGTGGTTTAAGCTCCCAGTCCAACCCCTTAAGGCTGAGTGCCAAGCAGGGAGGCAGTGGGTCTACCACTAGACCACTGAGAAGATAGAGCAACAGTCTGTTTAAGATGTTCTCTGTGCATCACACTTGTTCCTAGGGAAATGATTAAGCTCACCCGCTCGTGACGTCATCAGTGCGCACAACATTCTTGCTCAGCACGTCTCCGTCGCTCATGTATCCAGTGACCTCCACGGTGCCCCCGTCCAGCTCGAGCTCCTCACTGGCTCTGTCTCCGAGCTCTACGCTGCACAGAGTCCCACCCCTTCCAGCCAGCTGACGCCTCAGGTGACCTGGGTACAGATAGCGTCCTCCCTGTCCGCTGCCCGCTCGGCCACCGTAACCATTTCCTGATGAGGGAGCATCGCCCGCCTGCAGACGAGGGCTAGACTGGCCCAGTCGCCATGGTGACAGTGAGGAGCGGGCCGAGGTAAGGCTGAGGATGCTTCGACCACCTCCGCTGTTGATGCTGCTCCCACATCCACTCCCACTGCCAGAGCTGATGTCTGTGGTGACGCTGCCATCGAAGGTCGTTTCTAGTGTGCTAATGCAGAAAAGTAAAGAGCAAAATGGTTTCAATTGAATTCAAATGGATGCTGGAAAGTCATCAGGCAACAGCTTCTTTATTAGCATCAATCAAACAAAGATAACAGATCGTGCAAATCATGCAAATCCCAGCTGGCATGCTGTTTTTAGCACAACACCTGTTAAATTGCGCCCCACCAAAAAACAAATTCACCAGCCACTACTGCTGTTTGCCATCAGTGAGTGTGGGGTTGCCATTCCCTCTGCAAGGTAATACTGCAGTGCTGACCGTTGTAATTTGATGAAGGCAAAAACACTCCAGAGTTGTTTAAAGTGGTTGCAGTAACCAGATTTTACCACAGGATGTCACTCTTACTTCATTTCTACATAATGCACCTTTAACATTACTTAATAAAGAGTAGAATTTTAAACATTTTCAGATTATTATTTAAATCCCTGCCTTCAAAGGGTTAACAGTTTTCTAGCCATCATGGTCGAACAGTGAGGTTTTGTTTTCTGATGTAACAAGTTTGAAAAACTTCATGTACATAACAGGCTACAGCAAATAAACTGCATATTGTATCAAGAAACAAAGTATTCCTTAATTTAGTACTCACACAAAGCAAGAATATATCATTAAAGAGGGGGGAAAAGTATCATCAAATGGTTAAAATATGCCATCAAAGGGACCGAAACAGAAAAACAACAAACTGTTTTTGTTGTTTGTAAACACATTAGATTTGGTTCTATAAGTGGAATTAGAATCCTATCAGTACAAAGGAATAATCATTCAATCCAAGTTGACAGATGAGGTCCATTTACCTGTGTGTGACCTGAGTTCCTCGCAGGCTGGACATGGTCTCCTCCAGGTTTTGCCGCAGGTCTGCAATGTTTTTTACAGTACGCAACCGTCTTGTCTCTGGGTCTTCACCTTACGGACAAATCAAAAACACGCATGAGACATAAAGGTTAGATTTCAGACAGAGACAGACGTTCCTGTAAGTGGCCAATAACCTGAAAGATCCTCGATGGAGGTCTGGCTGGTCTTAGTGCAGGAAACGTCTCCACCTCTTCCACCCGAAATGCCCTCTGTGTTGGCCGTTCCCTCGTCGTCAGGTTGGGATCTGGGAATGAGAAAAAGAAAAGAAAAATTGTGCAAGCGATCAAACCAAGGAAATGAACGATTGTGAATTATTATTGTGCACCTAGTGGAAACCTAATCAGAAAAGTGTCACGAAGGAGGGATAAACCCGATTAGAATTTAAATCTGCTGTGTTTCAAGTCTTGTGACTGCAGTCCAAAATGAATGCCGCTAAGCCTCAGACGCCACTAACTTGTCTTTGAAGGATAAATCAATACAGCCTGACCATTGCACAGGCTGGTTGCTTTTTCAGGTGATGACGTTTGGAAGCCTTGGTAAAAGGCAGCCTTTGGTCTTTGCACGACTCCAGACTTTGTCCTTGTTGACTAATGACAATCACTCTGACTATGAGCCACTAAAAGTCACGACTGACTCTCATGTTGCTGTGCAGGAAGTGACATCAACATTTTATCCCAAGTTTTAGTCATCATGCATAGTAATGGTTCAAACTTTCCAATAACATTTTTTGGACTTGATTTCTGTTCAGAGCAATGCTGTTTAACTCTTAAAAGTGGAAATGAAGGTCTGAGTGGGAGACATGATTCTGGAGGTAATCCACTGTGCAGCATAGGAAGTCTAAGGAAACACTTGTTGAAGTGACTTACTTGTACATAAAAGGTGCTACGGTGGCTGTGTTGGGGTGGCTGTGGTGTTGTTGTGTCTGAGGTAGCTGCACGCTGACAGTGTTGCAGGCTGTGCTCTGTGTAGTGCCCCCACCTGCCACTGGGGCGGCGCTGGGCTTTCCTTCTGTGGAGGCCAGGCTGGAGGTAGAGCTGGAGTGCCTGCTGTCCCTGTCTCTATCCAAGGGGCCACGGTGCATGGCGAGACCCCCCCCTAACCTCATGCTCCGAGGCCTCTCCCCAGCTTCCTTCATTGAGGAGGCTTTGCCCCCAACTAATGGGGCCTTTCCTCCTGGCTTTGGTATTCCGCTTTGTGCAGGGGTGGAACTCTCCTTTTTGGCTACTTTAGCCCCCTTGGGAATAAAACTAGCAATTTTCGAAGTCCTTTTGTTTGACCCATCAGTGTCTCCAATGACGAGGGCAACATCTTCCTTAGGCTCCTCCCCCCTGAGCTCAGTTCTATCAGGTACACGCTTACCAACCTCCTTGCCTTTATCTTTCTCCTTTCCCTTGTCTTTTTCAGGGCCTTTCACAGAACCCTTCTTGGCAGTCAATGCTCTGCTGAAAGTGCGCTGGGCAATGCCCCGAAGAGCAATTTTGGGGCTGCTGGCAGTGGCTGCTGGAGGAGCAGCTCCACAAGTTGCCCCATTGCTGGTTCCATTCAGTCCTGGTCTGATATTTCCATCTTCTTCCTCTAGGGGGTCCGTGTTGGAGGCAGCTTCAGATCGCCCCACCTGCCCTGCACCATGCTGCCTGGAAGGGGCAGCATTGTCTGGTTGAGAAGCTACACTGTTAGAAGATGAGGCACTGGTAGATGATTTGGATCCACTTTTGCTGTTGAAGAGCTTAAGCTTTTCCAGCATCGACTTCTGAGAGACCACTTTGGGAGGAGCCTCAGCTGTTACAACACCTTTAGAGGACCCGTCCTTCTCCTGCTTGCCGGTCTGCATTGCAGAAGAAGGGGCGCTGGTGGAGGGTGGAGGTTTGGAGCTTGTTGACTTGCTCCTCCAGGGCTTGCTGCTGCTGTTGGGATGGGGAATGGCAGTCGAAGAAGAGGAGGGGGGAGACACCAGGGTGGAGGTAGCAGCTGAGGTGCTGGTAGAGGAGCTGACAGTCACAGCAGATGAAGCATGCTCAATCATTATCGAAGGTGAGGTCATGCTCTCAGAGGAATCTGCACCAGAGAACACAAATTTTACCAAATACTGAAGGAAAACTGTTTAAAAACAACGATTGTAGGAAAATTCAGGCAGGTGGAGTAACTAGAGGAGAAAGAACAGGCTGGATGTTTAGAATCTGAGTTTTTTTGGACCCCCCACAAAGTGGCCTTTTAAGGATATGGAGAACATGTGTTGATACAGCCAAATGTGCCATCACTTAGCTTCAGGATAGCCACCAAAACTGTTAAAAAGCCCTTTGCACTAACAACAAGAGAACCCATCAAAAAGTGTTTATAGAAACAATGAGGAGCAGGCTCAAGTGCTTTAAGGCCCTGCCAGGGAAGTCGAGTCAAGAAGCCGCTCTGCTGCACTTATAAGGCTTGGACTTATAGGGTCTGTTTTTGGTCCAGGTCCCTCAGCTCAAAACACTGCGCTGGTTGCATGACTCAGACGTGTGCAGACTACATTCAAATACAGGATAAAAGAAATATTCAGTCTGGATACCTACAGAACAGAAAGCACCTCTTGCAGCAGTGCTGCTACACCACAAATGTGGAAATTGTCTGCATAAATCTGTACCAAAACAAGCAAACTCACCAGGAACTGAAGAATCGAAAACAAAACGTCCAGGTAAAAGTCACGACCTGTTGTGAAAATAAGGGTTTCCTGAAGGCTGCTGAGGTTGCTGCCAGCCTCCCAGAGCTCAGACCAGCAACATTTGAATATTCAAACACCAACTGTCAGAGTGAGAGAGGGCCTGCGCAAGGAGGATGGGGTAGACCAAACACCCCACCCACACTTTGAATGCACACACACACACACACACACACACACACACACACACACACACACACACACACACACACACACACACACACACACACACACACACACACACACACACACACACACACACACACACACACACACACACACACTCACACTCAGGAGATGTTTATTCATATACTGATAATCTCATCCCAAATTATTTGCTTTGCAAGATTCTTAGTTGGGAATTTGGAAACTGACATGAAAACATCCGTTTTCATGTTTTATTCATTCGATCTCATTCAGTCAGCATTTACATGGAACATTAAATAATCAACGTTATTGTTCAGGCTCTCCACTTTATTTATTTTTCCAGTTCTTTCATGTCCTAATTGGAAATCGGGGATCTAGATATTGCGTCAACCTTCTCTCCCCCTATTTAGCATTTAGCGAGAGCAGCGTGAAACAATGCAGCCATTAGGAAGTGATTAGGGCCCAATTAGATGTGCTAGTAGTTAGCAATTGGCAAAGTGGGTCACGCTGCTAATAGCTGGCTTCCTATTGGAGGCAGCCGAATAAGAAGGGAACCATATCGAGCTGGCAGAGAGAATGAAAGAGGGCAAGCGGTTCAGGTTTGGGATGAGAGAGTCTTTGATGCAGGCCAGCAGAAATGGTCCATGACGCTGCAGAATGGGGTCAACTTGGATTCTGGGTCAGAAAAGAACAGAGAAACTGAAGATGGAGGCCTTTGACTCAATCAGCTGGTCGCTGACTTGACTGGACGCAGTGCTCCGGTTAGGATGACACGTGGAAAAGCACGGGGCCAGTTCTTAAACATTTGATTCAGTCGGAACATGAAAGATGTGGAAAGTGAATAACGGATTACTTAAAAACCTGTAATGAGAAAAAAACTGAAGGGACTGTTCATGTGTACTTTACAGGTAACATAACGAGGTGGCCAAACAGCTTAAATGTTCATATAAACTGCATGTATCTGTCATTAGCATGTACTAACTGGAAAGAGGGAAATAAAGCAGATATGGAAGCTGGACGGCCCCCTAGTGGCTGGTTCCAGTAATGTGTTATGCCCCGTATCCTTCATGTAGCTAAATGGGACTTTTCCTGACTAGACATTAAAACTCCACATCAGAGAAAGTGTCCAGTTCTGTACTTCTATTTGTTCTTGAAGTTCTTATCCTGATTTTGAATGTTCAAAAATTCATTTTTCTAAAAGCACAAACTACTCGTAAAGAAGCAAAACCGACAAATCATTTCCAAACTGGGCCTGAGAATGGCTCACAGACTAAATGACCCTGTGTGTCCTCAGGCAGAGTTAAAACACTCACAAGGATTAGCTTAACTGGTTGCTAGAGGAAACATGTTGAACAAATTTGAGTGTTTGACTTAACTGCTTAATTACTGCAGTCATTAGAGATTAGAATTAAGAGCAACGAAAGACAGACCACCCTTCTACTTCCTGTATGTCTGAAAACCTGTTTTGATTTCTGAGCCAGTCCTGAATGTCTTTTCAGGGAATCACCCAGAATGGACTCAAAGCCATTTTTCCAAGTTGGCAGGTTTCTGCTGCACGTGTGTGTGTGTGTATCCATGTCTCCAAGCCTAGCAAACACTGAGGAAAAGGTACAATTTCACAAAGTGTCCATAGTTCTGTACGCATACATGTCCTAGCGTGTCTGTCAAGTTACAGAAAGAGGAGCGTGTGTTTTTGTGCTCGGCAACTAGTATGATCTGTACGCTGGGTCTGAAAAATGAAACAAATTACAGCCTGCAGAGGAAGACAACAGCAGGAATTAAACACTGTAAAAGTAGCGTCCGCTGACACCGTTGAGACATCACACATTCACCAAACCCTTTCAGGGCTGTTAACGCTCCCCCCAAGAGATTTACATCGAGAAAATGGTCCATTTGTATCAGATTAGTCATCATTGTCTGATTTCAGGAAGAATCCCTCTCACTTCTCAGTCATTGTGCACAAACTAGTGAGAGGGACAGCCAGCTTTATGTGGAGCTTTTACTTTTAAATGCTGTCCACATGAATGCACCCAAACAGTGATGCTGCAGCTCATCAGAAAACTATTCATTCAGGATGAGAACCATCTAGTTTAACACACACACACACACACACACACACACACACACACACACACACACACACACACACACACACACACACACACACACACACACACACACACACACACACACACACACACACACACACACACACACACACACAAGCATGTACACAGCCACAGGTGGCATCTGTTCTCTCTACTCTGCATACAATTGGTGAACACTCAGGTCCTGTCAGCTTGTATTAACACAGAGCAGCAGAGAGGAGGCTCAGGTCTGGTCCTGCTCTGTGACGCTGCCTGGTAACACGACTTTTTTCTGGTGTCACAGCCACCAACACAGAAAAGCAGCTCTGACCTCATGACAGAGTCTGCAGGAGGCTCTCTGACTGCCCCAACCTGTAGCAACAGTTCACAAATGCATGCACATGTTAAGAATGCATTACTAATTACCACAGGTGAACTAAGACAGGTACTTTCAAATGTATATTGTGGTAAAAACAGAAAACCCCTAAAGGTCTATTATTTAGCAGAATAAACATGCACCAACTTTGATTATGGCCTTAATAAATACATTATAAATAATTATAAAACTCATAGGAGATTCACAAGTTGAAGCTGACTAACCTTGATCTTCCTGCAGACATCAGGGAGAAAAACAGAAAGAAGTGAAAAAGGAAAAGAAGAGATGGACTGGAGAGGTGGGAAGAGTCCAGGCTGGGAGGGAGGGAGGAGAGGAGGAGGGGTGATGTAGCAGGAGGAGGAGGAGGAGGAGCTTGGAAATGTCAAATTGAAGGGGTCTCCTGGTGATTTTACATCTACCTGCTCCCATTTGGCCACAAACACTAGGCCTCTGTGGTGGAGACAAAACTTTACTGTTGATAACGTTTTAATTTTTTTTCTACTCGTAACATCAAGCCTAAACTACAAACACACTGCTGTTAATTTGGATCAGCTGCTCCCTTCATGCTTCAACGTCAGCTGACTGACAGCATTCCTCCTCCATTCAAATAAACACGATACATGTCCTCATGAGCTCCCTCTGACCACGTTCTCCTCTTTAATACGTCCCAACATGAACTTGTTATTTGTGGTTGTGCATTCTGACAGCTGCTGGTCTTTTCACACCAAACCTAACCAATAAAACCCCCTAGTTACATTAAAGGCTTATCATCTCCAGCGGAGCTGCTCATCAGAGTAATTGGACCAGTGCAGCTCACAGAACTGGTCCCAGTTAATTTGGCACCATTTTACATGACAGCAGCCAGAACCCTCTGTCTGAAGCAGGGTAATGAGTTTAGACTTTAAACGCTAACAAAGTCCGTATAAAGGCTGGGTCCACTGAATGGTCACAAAAGCTACTTTAGCAGTAGCTGGAATGCATCTACAGCCAAAAACAGGTTTTATTCTTCAGCACGTCAAAACAAAACTGTCTGAAATAAGATTATAGACAAAAAAACATGCAGTTTAGGTTTTGACTGCAAATGCACAAAATGTATCTATATTTTTAAAAAGACTACTGGTAACTTGTGAATCCCAGAATTCCCACAAAGCTCCAGAGAAAACATGTTATCAAAGGCCTGACCCTCACTTAACCAGTGTTTCAGCTGCCATGACACCAGCTCCATGTTGTCAGTCATTAAAAGAGACATGTAAGGATGTGTTTCAGGGAACCTTGTGTTTGTGTGCTTGGAGCAAATGTGAAAAAAAAAAAAAAAAACGTAACAAGATGTTCAAGAACTGCAGAAACTTCTACAGATTGAACTCTGAACACAGAAAATGGACTTTGTTGCAGAATCTAAGGAAACGAGCATAAAAACGTATTTTACAATTCTCACTCCTAACAAATGTTTGTCTGTAGAGCAAAAGCATCTGCAGCCTCTCAGTAATCCAGTTATTAGACATTAATGACAATACTTAAAAAATCTATGCAACAAAGAAAATTCTTACAGAGCAATAAGGGCAAACTGTTCTTTAAAAGGAACCAAGCTAAAGTTCCCAGAATACCTAGACAGCAATGACATTCTTAATTATCCAGCTAATGTTGGGACAACAAAAACAACTGAAGATAATAATTTCAATATTAACTCAAATGTTTTAAAAACTGCTTCTTTCATTCATACTATTAACAACATTACTTATTAATAAAACATATTTGATTAAGAAACGGTTGGGTGACAATTTAAAAATAAAAATGTAAAAATCAAGTCTCTAATTGGTCAACTGTATCTTGAAAGAGACATTGGCTGCGTTCGAGATGAGCCAGTTCTGCGCAGATTAGCGGTGATCGGCGAGCAGTGCATGCCGGTTAGATTGTCCATGGGCGTCGCACCCGTGGGGGATGTGGGGGATTCAACACCCACACTTTTCTTATTGAGATCGTTCAACTGACACCCTCACTTTTCCAGCTGCTTTGCTCACCTCCACGTCACACTCACTCTGTTTGCCTCATCTCCTTCTTCACCTCCCGCTTCTGACAGCCGATGTCGGGTTTCAAGGAGAGCAGGAGAGGGAGGGATGGAAGAGCTCGACTGAATTCATAATTTTACATCTTGACAGACTTGACCTCTACAGATCTTCAGCTCACTGTCCACCGTGTTCGCTCCGAGCTGCGCTGAACACAGTGTCCAGTATAAAGCTCTGATGTTCTGATGGGAATCATTTCTTGATTGATTTAGTTACCTCCGCAGTGTGCGTAAATTATTAAAATGTCAGCTCATCTGTGTGCGCATCAGTGTGCGTCGGGGTAATTCTTTCAAAACAACCAACATCCTTGAGTTTATCCATCAAAATAAACAGTCAAATGTAAATATCTGTAACCTGCCATTTAACTGTTTTGCCTTCTTGTGAAGATTGTTGCAAAGAGAAATAATTAAACTTGATTAACCCCAGAGCCATGCACACTGCACTGTACTTCGTGACTGTAAATGAGGGGGGAAACGATGTAATCGGATCCTATTCTTTTCAGCACGGTTTAATGTAAAGTTTCATTCAGTACAAACTTTAGTTGAATCTAACGAGACAGAGCCTGGATTTGTATTCTGAACAATTTAAACATGTTTAAAACGGAGACATGCGTGACGCGTCTAAAATTCGCACCTGCTCCGCTATTATGGAAATTAAACTAACAAGAAGAATAACATGAAATTATTTTAGGCACAGACAACATCCCCCACACTTTTGAAAAGCTTGCAACGTGCCTGTTTGTGTCCGACTTGACGCCGACTTGCTCTGACGTCATGCATACTTAGGCAACGATAACCTCGTGAGATCAAGGCGGCCGCAGATTTTGGAGCAAGGCGCTGCAGTTGCTCTCCACCGGCTGCAAAACCTAGAGCATGACGGGAAACGCCTGGCTCCCACCTGATCTAAGATCTGATTGGTTCATATTTTGATCCAAACATCCGGTGGTAGAACATGAAATGTTAGTTGGTCACATGGTTTTGATATATTGTCTGGTTTCATTTAAAAAGCACTGAAAGGAAGGTTTTGCACTAGAAAATTTCGACTTATGTATATGAAATTTAGCCAGTAATATCAGTAAATTAACCAAATAAAATTCAAACCATACAACATTCTCAAAATTTGAAAGCTGTCACAACCATAAACTTATGTTCCCTGTTCAATATCATGTGATTCTCTGTTAGACAGTTTTGTTTTTCCATAGAAACCCCCTGACATTGTGCTTGTTATTTCGTTGTAGTTGTATTATGTGCTTTGTCAATAAAGCGTATTCAAGGAGAAAAAAAAATGTTAGTTGGTCACATGTATTCTGTAAATCATGTTATGTTGATGATGGTAACTATATAGGCCATAAAGAGAAATGTGTTTTGTTTTCTTTTGTCACGTTTCCTATGAGCACACTAACCATACGGCTGATACTTATTATTACAGTCAGGTCTCCATATACAATATATGATATCCACACATGGACGTAATTTTGGGGGGGCATAGGGGGGACATGTCCCCCCCACTTTTTCCAAAGTCAGGTTTTGACCCCTGCACTTTTTACCATCCAAAAACAATATTACGCTATATTAAATTGACACTGGTTGAGCTCTAGGACCACGCAGAAAACAACCGTTTGTGTTGAAGCCTGTTTCCCATTAGAGCATACTGTAAAGATCCCCCCCCCTTGTCCCCCCGACTTCTAAAGTGAAAATTACGTCCCTGTATCTACAAGCACGTGAGGATGTGTTTCAGCTGCTAACAGGCACCAGAATTAAAATAAATAATTAAACAAGTATGAACTCTAACGGGATATCTTCAGCCATCGTCACCCCCGAGCTACACATGTAGGGACATCTGTCCGACTTAAATGCCGGCTTTCAGCCACTCCCCCTGCTGCTTCCGTCTGCTCTCGTCTGTTTTCCAGGTGAGGCACAGCTCAACTCGAGCGCGGCCGTATTACTTTTTTTAAAATTGTATTTTCCATAGTTGTATGTCTTTGACTGTTTGATTGATGGATTTAAAAAAAAACTCGAATGCGGCCATTTTTAAACAGGTAAAATTAAAAGCCACAGCTCACTTTTTCACTTTAAAAGTTAAATCTGGAACACGAACAGCGACATCTAGTGTGTACAGGTTAAAGTTGCAACAATAGAACAAGTGGTCAGGATCCCAGGTTCGCTGCCGATGCGCAAAATCTATTTGGGTCCACCTGTTGTCGGCTTCACATAAACTCACTCTAGTTTTAGATTATGCTTTTATGATGGCTCCTCTTCTGAGAAGGATAACAACATCTTCTGAGCTCAGAAGCAGCTACTTGACTTACCGAGTCCTCCATTTTAAACAGTGTCAGCCTCGCTGTGCCGAGGCAACCCACAGCGGTGCCCTCTATTGGCTGGTAGATGTAAACACAAACCCAGTGTCGTGCCCATCAAAATAAATGTTTGATTATTTGTTATTTAAAAAATAGCTTTTAAATGAAATACTGTACCTTCTTTCTGCACACCTCTAAATGTCCGTTGGAGTTTTTTTTTTTTTTTACCCTCACTCACTCACTCACTCACTCACTCCTCACTCACTCCTCACCCCTGCCACATGGACCTCGAGAGATAAACCATCAACCCTGCTCAATGGTCAACTTTCCTCGCAGGGTCGCCCATTAGGACAGTGGGAGGGTTTATTAAAGCTTTTTATTAAATTGTTCCATATTCAACTTTAAAATGTTTCATCTAATCCTACTAACATATCAGGAGGATGTGTTTGTTCTCTGGTGGGTCACCATGTCAGGCTTACCTTTGCTCAGGTGTGAGTTGGCTTTGGTTCTATCACTGCAGCCCTGACTGCGTCTGCTCCCAACGGCACTGACCGAGCCTCTGCTAGGGATGTCACTGCCAGCAGTGGACACCCTTGCTGTCAGGCCAGGCAGCCTGATGGACAAAGAGACAAAGACCAGAGGACAGACTAAATATATACTGTATAAGTTAACTACAAGTTGGAAATAGGAGTTTAAGAGAGTAAAATGAATCTCAGTTTAACATATTATAAAATGATTACATGCAGCTTATCACCACATTTTGGATGTGCGATAGAAAAATTCAAGTAGTTTTAAACTTTCATTGTTTGTCATGTTGCTGTAAAACCAAATGCGGCCCTAAAGAGGAAAACAGAATGCACATAATGATTCAGAAAGAGACCGTTCAGACTTCAAATGCTTTGTATCCCATAATAATGAGACTGCATAAATACATGTGCCAAACAAAGATACCACTGAAGTGTGCCTTTGTAGCTTAAATTTGATTTGCAGAAAAAAATACCCCAAACTGAAGCTTGTTAACGTTTAGACAAACTGACTATTGAGTTCCTATTTTCCCTTCAGTTGTTCAACAAGTTCAACTCCCCCTCAGGCTGATGGCTGCAGAGAACACACAGACCTGCAGCCTCAGCCGGTGCAGCCACTCTGTGTTTGAAACCATGTCAGTCTTTTTGGTTTGTCTTCAGAGACAAGTGCTTACACCTGAGTGTATTATAACCTGTAAGCTCAGCTGATGTTTGCATTTCCTGTTTGCTTTCTACTGTAATACTATCATAAATCTGAATATGTCCTCTGGGAGATGTTGACTAAGATGCTTCACATCTTGCCTGTTTAGTTCCAAGCATGGATCAGAGAGAAGCTACAGCACTGGTGGAGACAGTTATAACACTCTGATTCAATGTTACTAATCTGCAGCTCACAGACTCTTCATAATTTACTACTGGTGACATCGTCACCATCCTCATCATCATTCTGGGACTGAGAGTGTGACACTTAAGTGCAGATTACAGCCATTTTGTTCAGGTTTTTTCATATTCACTCAGTTCTGACAGGTCGTTCACTTTGGGCTGACCATAGTCGTGAACTAAAGGGTTTAATTTAATTATACCTAATGGACGTCTAAGAACATTCCAGTTTCAATAGTTGAGAGGTAATTCAGTCGAGTATATACCTCATTACTCTCAGACTCAGTTTTAAAGAAATTGTGTGGATTAGTCTCAGCTTGTTCCAGTGGTTAATTTATCAAAGGTCAGTTAATAAACTTCACTTCACTTTACTTAACTTAACTTAACTTAACGTAACTTACTTAACTTGACTTTACTTTATTTTACTTTATGTAAAGTAACAAAATAGATGGTGTTCTAATGAGATAAATATTTAGCAAATAAAAAACACTCGAGGCTTTCTAAGATGTTTAAAACATAATTTAAACAAACAGCAACTTTTTAAATGCACCAAAAGTCTCACTCATGCACACATGTGCATAAACGCACACACACACACACGTAAATGCACGCATGCAAGCACACACATACATGTGCATACACGCGCATGCACACACGCGAGAACACGCACACACACACACACACACACACACACACACACACACACACACACACACACACACACACACACACACACACACACACACACACACACACACACACACAGAGAGAAACAACAAAATGAGAACTATTTTATGTTATTCATTTCCTACAAACTGACTGCTAGCAACCATCAACAATGTAGTAATTAGCATTAAATAAAGTTTTTTATTCAGGAGGCGTCAACCTCATGTTTGAGCTATAAAAAAAGTATTTTAAGGAATATCTGAAGAAACTCTTATTGTTGGCTACAATGTATTAAAATGCTAAAAGGAACAATTGAGTGATAAAAGTTTTGTGAATGAACGTCTCAATTATAGAACTTGTAGTTATGTAAACAAACCAGATGGTGGAGACATTGTATTAGTTTGAAAAGTTTGAGTTGGAGTTTACAAAGCCAACCAAAATCTGGACTGGGATAGCAGTCACAACAAAAAATAAATGTTTCAAGGTGCAGGTGCACATCATAAGGGACTGCATGCTCAAAAACGGGTTGAAGTGAAAAACTTAAACTAGGAACATAAAATACACACATCACATTATAGACATACTTCCTACTAAAGATCCTGAATGAATTATTAACATCAGTTTACATAGGGAATGCCCTTGAAAACACACACACACGCACATCTACACACACACACACACACACACACACACACACACACACACACACACACACACACACACACACACACACACACACACACACACACACACACACACACACACACACACACACACACACACACACATTTACTTAAGGGTTATCTAAAGGTCTTTCACAGCCCATTTAGCAGGCTCGCCAAATGAGGCGTGATGCCAGAGATGGACGAGTCTGTCTGACAGTGGAGCCTGGAGGTTTAGTTCCTATCTGCTGAACACTATTATTCATGCATTATTGATAGTGCTTGTAGTAGATATTGCCCTTAATCACAAGCGAAAGAGACAACAAGAAACTCATTATGCTACAAAAGTAATGTTATCTTTGATTAGGGGCAATTTCTGGCTTCCAATTTTCAGGCAAAAGAGGAAACAGGAGGTGTGGAGGAGGAAAGGAAGGAGGAGTTAGAGCAGTAAACCAGAAGGGCAAGTGCAGCTGACCTAGAGCTCTTTTTCTGACCAATGGAAAACTTGAGAAGTTTACTCTGAAAACCATCCCTAGAGAAGAAGAGAAGAGACATGGAAAAGGACAGACACAGACAGGTCAGGCTTAGAAGTTTATGATGTGATTTGTGAACAAAGAAGGTAGAAATGTCAAAATGATGGTTTCAAAACAGCTAAAAACATGAAGAAAGACAAAATGCTTCATGCAGTCTATATTGCAAGAGTTAGACAGGTGGGCGGAGCACTCACCTGGACTGCATCTCGGCCTGTGCTGCTTTCTGCGCTGAGAGGGCAGGAGTCCCATGCGGAGACTGGCTGAGCTGTGCTGGAGCGCTGCTTTGCTGGCTCAGAGGAGGGTGTGTGCTCTGGCACGGTGCCGCCGCTGGTGGGAAAGCAGTTAGGGAGTTCTGACGCTGAGCCTGCTGCTGCTGCTGTTTGTAGCGGGACAAGCTGAAGAAGAGCCCAAGGATGGCTTTCAGATTCCCATTCCGAATCTCTGAGGAGCAGACAGAAGCACATCAGAAAGTTAAATGAAAGGCATTCAACTGTGAGCTTCTAGTCAAATTAGCAAGAAATAAAGCTTTGTGTTGCAGGAGTCCTGTTTACCTTCTGCAGACAGACCCTGGATGTTAACTCCTTTGGCTGCCAGGAAACTGAGACAGGCGTCTATGTTCTCAATCTACAGAGGGGCAGACAGCGGTGAGACAAAACATACTCCATATTTCCATTCCAATTTGCATGATTAATGTGAGGAAACATGCTGGTTTGAGACATTAACCAAATAGGAAGCAAATAACTGCCCAGACAAAAGTTCAGAGAACAAAGGGAATGAAAATGTTTAAAACGCATTAAAGAGAATGAGATTTTGTCAATAAACAGAAATATTGATTATCATGATGTGCAAATTTCTGCAAAGGCCTCAGAATCTAATAAACGGGTAATTTCACATAAGCTGAGCACCTACAGTAAATACTGTTCGGCATTAAAAAACAAAATATGCACACAACCCTAACAGTAACTTAGGAGGAGATGAATTTGGAGGACAAGAAAGTATTCAATATTTCACGCACACAAGTAAATATTCTTTAATTAATGTCACATAAGTAAGAGATTTTCACCAAATTGAATTAATAAAGTAACACATTTATGTGTATCAAGTTATTTTCTGGCCAATGGCTACTACTGTTTAACCACAGTGACTTTTTACAATGTGTCCTTTTCTATGAATAAGTCAAAACACGACTCAGCTAGATTCTCATCAGCTAAAACAAATCAAAGCATCTAGAGATACTCGGTTGCTATGACAACAGCCGTAGTAACCCGAGAGGACTGCTGAGCTGTCACTGGACAACGAGAGGATTTGATAGACACACGCTTTGTTCAGAGCTCATGTGACCTATTCTGCTCACAATCTGATTACTGATGCATGTGATTATAAAGCAAAGAACATCAAAAAACATCAAACATCAATGACCAAAGGTTGTTGGTGTGCAAACGAAGGCTAAAACACAAAAGATATTCTAAGAACATGACAACCATGAACATGACCCTCACAACCACAGGTGGACTGTGTATAAGTTTGGTGCTCTCAGCTGAGCAGGTAATTCAAGAGCAGCCTAGAATAAAGGATCAAGAATCAAAAACATGTAAATGGGCTAAATTCTTCTTTTAAAGCTGCATAAATAAATGAAACTAATGTGAACTAGAGCTGCTCTTCGTTACCAGGGCTGAGTGTGTGCAGGAAGAGGGAGGGTCCTGTTCTCTAAAGATTAATGGCATGATTACACTTAATATGCAGCGACTAAATTTAGATTGACCTACAGCACCCTGCCATGTTGGGAAGTTTCCAGCTGTTAGGTGAGAAGCTGAAGGAAAAACAAATTTCCTTCTTCCTGTGTGTGAATATGAAACATCCGCTGACTCCAGATACTCCAGACATTCATTTATATGTCAACACTTATGTTCAAAATATTTAAATAACATGCGTTTTAATGTTCAAAAGATTTAAATAACATGTCTTTTACTGCTGCAAGTGACATCACCTATCAGGTTTCTACATGATGCTGTAAATTTGTTGATGCTGTAATATTCTCCTCAAGCCATTTATACGTGTTTATGTTACTGTGCATTACAGAAATACTTTGTTTCTTTTATTAAATGAACCGAATAACAGAAGGAGAATCCCCCAAGTCAACAAACAACTGTCACCCCAGTGTCTGGTTTCAAATGGTTAAGCCCCGCCCCTTCCATGTACACACGGGACATTTTCCTCGTTAACTCATTCACTGCCATTGACGACTAAAGTCGTCATTTTAGATCCAACCGTTCACTGCCAATGACGGCTAAAGTCGTCATTTGCATTTTTTTACTGTTTGAGCATCAGAACGAGCCCCCGCGCTGAGAGAACAAACATCTCAGCCCTGAAGCCGATCTTCATCCGCATACGTCACACGTCACATGATCAGGAAGCAACACATCCATGTGTTAGGAGATCGTTTTGGGCCGTTCCTGTAAAAAAAAAGTGAGGCGCGAACCGGAAAAGCGTCTGCCGATCACAATTCAACAACGGATTATGAAAGAACGGATAACGCTCGAAACACATGGATTCTTCCTGATGTAAGAGGTGAGTCTCCGCTTTGTTTTGGTTGTTTTGGCATCGACATAATCCTAGCGCACAACGTTCTGTGACTCTTAAAAAAAAACAGTAAGAACGGTGAGAAACGCTGGCAGCGAAGGCCGTTAGTGATCTGGAAATGGCTGGCAGTGAATGAATTAAAGAAATGCATCTCAAATCATTCTTTCCAGCACTGACTGCTGTTGATTCACTCTGCTGCTGCGTGTTCAAACATGTACTTATATTACTACTTTAGCTGTAACTAGTTACTTAATGGTGAAAAGGCACCAGGGTTGTGTGTAGGTGAGTAGGCGGGACTTCCAGCCACACATCCTGGATAGGCAGATTCTGGCTCCACAAGAAGACAAAACGGGGTATTTTTGGTTCTAAATAAAAAAAAATAATGTTTTCATAAGTCCATGTGCCCCACAAAACTATTCCATTTGTAAATCAGGTAATTACTGAATTATATCCAGATCGAATGATTTACATGAATCATAACTACTAGCTAGGTCTTTCAGATGTTTAAATGTCACTTTCCTTCTATTTGTTGTTTCAACATCTAAAACTAACAAAAACAAGATCTCTCAATGTCCTTCATGACCAGGGTTGTGAGGTAACAAGTAACATGCTGTGGGAGGTTGAGGTTGTGCCTCACTCATCGCCAGGGGTGGACTGACTTTCTGGAGCACCGGGAGCCGTCCCGGTGGACAGGGCTGCCGGGCCGGTCTGACATTTATTATTTCATTCGTTCATTCATCCACTCGTTGCGGTCGTCTTTCTCTCTTGCCCTCAGATTTCTTACAAATTGGGCCGGTCAATAGGTTATCGAGGCTAGCAGTGTGTTGCCCACATCAGGATGTATTATTGGTCTGTTTCTCATTGTCATGGGCAGACTGGTTCAGGGCGCTGCGACAGGGCTTTTAATCACAGGCAGCACAAACCAGGGTGGGCGGGGCCTCATTGCTGGTCGGCGGGAGTGGTGGTTGGACAGTGCTGCGGTCGGGCAGTTGATGTGGAAAATGGAGAAGTCGAGGAAACGTTTGGGTGTCGCAGAAAAGTTGCGGCGAAAAAAATTGAAGTCTCTAGAGGTGGGAGCTGCTAAGTGTTTAAAGCTGACAGACCTATTTGGTCCTGGGCCGGCCTTAGTCACCACCCCAGCAGGTGCTGCTGGTGCGCCAGGAGAAGGGGCGACACATGCAGTAAGTAGCATTAGCATGGGGCTGGCTAGGTTACATTTTAAAACGTAATGTGTATGTTCAATAAGAAGTAGAAAACGTTTTATATCTATAGCAGTCATCATGTAGTATGAGCTAAAAAGGCCGTGAGTGTTGATATTTGGGTTGATTTAGTTTTAGGTTGGTTTCATGTGACATCACAACATTCTAAAGAGCCCATAGTTCAACAGTGAGTGTGACCCCCTTTCCATCGGAGTGGACCAGCAGCGTGTTACTGGGCAGCACATTCTCGCATATTCTGCTGCTTGTCCCTTCCTACCGGCCGCTTATGAGAGGCGCATCGGCCGCAAATGCAGCGCGACAGCGCCCATGGTAGATCAGAAAATATCCTTTTAATGAACGGAGCGCGACCGTGATGTTTTTAATGCAGTTGTCCTGTTCCCAACACATCTGATAATCACAGGCTAACATGAAGCAGAAAAAGTAAAAAAAAAAAAAAAAGTTTTTATTTAACTCGCCATCTATTTAGAAAACTGCAGATATTTCCATCCATTTCATCTCCTTTCTCAATATTTTCCCTCCGGCTCCGGTGGAAAGCAGGGGTGACTGAGGGCAACTCTAATTAATTTTCCCTTAAAGATGTACAAGTGTATTCAAAACATGTGTGATGTTGACCAGTAGAAAGGACTTTCAGCAACATAGGAATGAATAATATGGCAGGTTTGTGAATCCAATCACTGTAAAATAATCTTCAGGGAAAACATTTGGACAGCTTCTTTTTGGAAATTTCTTCCAAAAACAGTTTTTCTCCCATTGAGTTGTACTGCCTGGAACCTGGCCTCTAACTGCAATAGTATTATAGAATGTGAAACCCACCTATTGATTTACTGAACAACATGTCAGCTGTCTGTTGTCATAGCAACAGTAAACATTTTCCCGACCAATGAGCTGTAAATAGAGATACAGACTAGCTGTATTGTAAATACAGGCGGGCATGGGTACCGAATTCGGTACTTATTAAGGTACCGACCGAATTCCATAGTACCGACCGAGCACCGATTCACGTCATTTCAAACGGTGCCTTGTTTCGGTACCTGTCCTTCATAACGAGAACTTGCCTAGACAGATGCGCATGCGCAAGAGCGTTTTGTCGTCGGTCGCTGCGAGCCAGTTGTAAACAGAGCAGCATGGTAGAAAGAACGCAGGCTAAAGCTTGGGTCCACTTCACTAAATGTGATGGGTAACTGGGTCATGATGAAACCAGCGACAACGATCTAAGTGAGACATCCTCATCTTAATCTGCTCCGGTAGGTAAATATAATTAGCTTGATATGTTAGCTTCCGTTTCGCTAATGGTGCATTCGCTTTCTCCTCGGAACTCCGAATTCCCGACTAGAAGAACGTGCTCTAAAGTTTGGCTTCACTTTACTAAATGCGACGGGTGATTGGGTCAAGATGAAACCAGTGACAATGTTTTAAGTGTGAGGCATCATCGTTTAAATCTGCTCCAGCAGCTAAATAAACTGTTTAAGATAACGTTAGCTTGGTATGTTAGCTTCCATTGCTACATTGTTATCAGCTAATGGTGCGTTCGCTTTCTCCTTGGAAATTCTAACTTCCCAGTAGGAAAAATCAAATGAAAAAAGATGGCAAAAGGAATGAAGACACACAGTAAATTTAGTTCACAGTAAAGATGTTTGCTTCAGTTTAATTATCATCTTATAAAACTACAAGGACGATGTTAAAATACAAACAGTTGAATGTTATTTATCGTGATATATATCAAATAGTTATATATTGAGAAAAAATATATTTAATTATAAAAGAGAATTAAAATAATAAACACTCAAAAGTATCGAAAATTGGTACCGTTAAGTACCGGTATCG